TTAAAGTTCTAGTGGGGGGTTACATATGGAACTTTAGCCGAAATGTTCTTTTTTTCGGCAAAAACGATGAGCTTACCCCTTGCCATTTTGTTTAAAAAATTGATCATTTTCCACATTTCCCCCAAATAAGCCAAAATGCCCCTGAAGGAGACTAATTGGGGTTTTATCATAACTTTATAACTATTATAATTCACAAATGACACAAAATTGTAAAGCTTAGATCCTCCTCTTTCATTTGATGCAACTCATATGATGCATATTTTACGCATGAGTGATTAAAAAACAATTTGAAGAAAGGGTACCAAAAAGTCATTTGGCAAACTGTGTCTGAATTTCAAAGAGAAAATCACATTTCTTGAAAGTTCACTCGTCTTTTCATATGACACCTCAATCAGGTTAAAATGAATCAGAAATATTAAAGTTCAATTTTTTTTTATAGAGAATTTGTCATCTTAAATAAAAAAAAAATAGAAAGTGGTTTCTTTCCTACCTTGTCTCCTAGCAACACCTTTTGAAACCAGCACCATTGAGCCACTAATTGTTGGGACAAATTATCTCACTAGGTGAATTATAGGTAGTCATTCAAATATTGCACAGTACCCGCAGAAAGAATATGTATGACTTTATACAAAGTAATGTCGCTTCTTTGCGGATGAAGTCAGGGAGGAGAAACTCATAATCTCAATAAAGTAATAAGGCCTTAGAACCTAGTAAAGAATCGAGCGAAGAAGTAGGACATGAATTAGATTTCGTGTAGACTTTAGGTCTCTCTAAAAGAAGTGTGCTCTATATAAGAACAGCTCAGGATGGTTGCACATCCCAACACATAGGTTGTGGAATGTGCTTGCCAAAATAATTGCACATCCCAATACAATAGGATTTAGAATGTGCTTGCCAGAGAAAGTATGTGTGGCACTTTGATAATGTTACTGGTGTTACTATAGAAATGGGTGACAATTGAATAAAAGGCCAAACTTCAAGCCACGCAATAAATACAAGACAATATTTACAAAAGTAAAGTTCTTCTAAGGTAAATTAAGTCACTACAGTTTAAAGTAATGCTTGCATTAATTTTATGAAACGAATCCGTTCCACATGCTGTCTTCCCTAACAACAAAGAAGACGAAAGACTTCATGCATGCCGGCTGATCGTCAACGGAATAGAGTTTGTTGTTTGTTGCTATTGCAGGCAGCCAGTGAAAATGAATTCGGTTAGATAAGTTGAAAGAGAATACCGGTAGACCTGTTTACGAGGGAGTTGGGGATCCCAGAATGCAACTCCCTAGTTTCTCAATCTCCAGAACCCCTGAACACTATTTCATTCACCTGCTATGGGATAACGGTATTACTATAGATGGATTTCACAGGGGGGGGGGGGGGCACAGTGCCCCCCCAATTTTTCAAGTACCCCAAAAATGCCCCTTTTTACAATAGGAAAAGTGCCCCTTTTACTTTGACAAGTGCCCCTATTAATTTGTTTAAACTGTCCTTCCCCTTTCCACCTCTGATAAGTGCCCCTTTTACTTTTACACGTACCCCTTTTCCTTTGACAAGTTTCCATTTTCCTTTGCAATTAGTGTCTATTTTCAATTCTCATAAGTGCCTTTTTTAATCTCTAGTTAGTTCCCCTTTTTAGGTACGAGAAGCGCCCCTTTTCACTTTTAATAAGCGCCCCCTTCACCTCTGATAATTGCCGTATTCAAATCTGAGATGTTCCCCTCTTGAAAAAAATGCCCCTCCCCCTTTTAATAAATATCCCTTTTTAACCCTAATAAGGCCGGGGGGCATTATGCCCCCCCCCCCTACACGATTTTCCGATTGTTCGGGAACGCATATGGATGGCGCCCCGCCGCTCGCTGACTTTTTTCTTTTGAGTCTTGCGCATCTTTGATTTTTTAAAAATGAAAATCGGACCTACAGTTACAAGGTCACGTGACCGGTCTTGTTTAAAGTTTAGGTGGTTGTTTTGGGGTCAAAATAGTTGGATTGTAGTAAGAAATGAAATAAAACAACAAAAAAACAAAAAAATACATAAGTTCAAAAAACAATGAAATACATAAGAAATTATCAAAACAATAGATAACATAAGAAATAAGCTGGCTCTTCCATTTTTTTTTGTCGTATTTATTCCAAATGGTCTAATGAATATATGTGGTGAAAAAGAATGTTTAAATATGAATAATATATGATTTATAGGTAAAAACGTGATTTTATGACCTTATATGCAAATTAGTGAATTTTTCCAAAAAATTGAAATTAACATATTATTCTATACACTTCACTTGACATGCGTGCAAATTTTCGCGGAGATCGGCCGTTTCACGGCCGAGATCTTAAGGGGGCCATAATGCCCCCCGGCCGTACTAAGACCTTAAATAGCCCGGCCTTTTTAGGGTTAACTCGGATAAGCGCACCGTATATTTTCACATGTGCCCCCTTTCCTTTCTAATAAAGAACCTATCCCTTTTTCATATATGCCCCTTTTCACTTTTTATAAATGACCCTATCAAAACCTCTGATAATTAGCCTTTGTACTTTGAAACGTGCTCATTTAACTTTTACTAATAAGTGTCTTAAACCTTTCGAAAAGTGTCCTCTTTTCCTCTCATCATTAAACGTGCCCCTATAATTCAAGCGACTAACAGCAATGTCTCCCAAAGCTCGCTCGCTACGCTCGCTCGTAGTGATAAAATTATGTACTTATCAAAGGTCTTTTCAAATTTCCGTTATGAGAATGTGCTTTTAACCCCATCAGGATTGGGTTTTTCCTCTTTATAAGATGTAATTTTTCGCACTGCGACCTCACAAATTTTTACAAATTTTCCTCGCTCGCTTTGCTCGCTTGCAAATGAATTTTCAGACCATCACCCCCAACTGCAAAGTAAGATGCTTAAGCAATATCTTATATGATGTATAAAGAGAAACAAATATTGAAATCATTCCTGATAATGTAATCACAATATAGGGGTACCAATGTCTAATTAAAAGTTGTATATTTTCGCTTTGAAATTTCCTTTTAAAGGTGCCCTTTTTGTTGGTGCCCCCCCCCCCCCCCCACTTTGGAAGTCGCTCCGCCACCTCTGGCAACAATTTACGTATGCGATTCGCATTCTGACTATTAAAATACATTTATTCCTAACGGGTGAATGTAATACAAAAATACGAAAATAGATAGTAAACAGAGGGTCTATAATGAAATGAAATGAACAAGAGTGACAAAGCGTGGACGAGAGGAAAGAAGCACAGAGAAAGAAAGGACAAGGAAGGGTGCTTTTAGGACTGGTCATCAACCATTTAAATCCAGATTCCCCTGGGCGTCGTTTCACAAAACCATCATAAGTACAAGTTCACCAACATCCCATTGAAATGTGTGTAAACTCAATACACGCGTTTCACTGGGGGTGTTGGCGAACTTGATGGTTTCGTGAAAAGCTGCCCTGGTTCATAAATATTCTGGCAAGGAACAAACCCGATACAAAGTTTAAAGGGAAAACTCATAACCATGATCCTGTATTGAGAAATTGTGTATTTTTGTTGTAGCAGGGGAGGGGGATTATGATTTTTAAATCTTAGATTCTGTTTATGACAGTTAAAATATTTTAAAAGACATGTTATTAGATATAAACTCTCTTAATAAGGAGAATTCTTTAAAATGATGCTCACAAACAGTTTTTGCAAGTCTTCAAAATAAATGTCGCATATTTCTTTAAAGATTTTTTTCCCCCTGTTTATTCACATTGCTTATCATAAAGCTGTGTTTCATGTGATAAGCAACACGAGATGACCAAGATAAATGAAATACCTTCCATTTCTCTTTCCTAGTATGTTTTTATTATTATTATTATTATTATTATTATTATTATTATTATTATTATTATTATTATTATTATTATTATTATTATTATTATTATTATTATTATTATTATTATTATTATTATTATTATTATTATTATTATTATTATTATTATTATTATTATTATTATTATTATTATTATTATTATTATTATTATTATTATTATTATTATTATTATTATTATTATTATTATTATTATTATTATTATTATTATTATTATTATTATTATTATTATTATTATTATTATTATTATTATTATTATTATTATTATTATTATTATTGTTTGTTTCGGGGGGGGGGATTGTAATTTTCCAAGAGAATTAAAAAATATTGCTTTATTATTATGACACTTCATTTACAATGAGCCTCCGAGAATTATCCAACCAGTTCTATAAGCTCACATACACAGATCAATTACTTTTCCCTCTTTCAGTTAACTCTGCATAACTCGAAGTTGCACAAGACAAATTTCTCCCACGTCGAATCAATTTTAGCAAAATGAGTTTTTTAAACTTCCCCAATCAAATTTTGCACAGGCCATACTTCTTCTTTTTTCCTTTTTTTTATGGGGGGGGGGGGCGGATCTTAACAACTTCCACCTATGCAGAGTTAACTGTAATCTCCTTTTTTCTTCCCCTTTCACCACTCTCCCTCTTTTGTTCCTCCTTTCCGTTTTCCTCTATATCCCATTTCCCCTCGTCTCCACATCTTTCTCCCTTCGTTTCCCCTCTCTCCTCATCTTTCTATCTCCCTTTTCCCTAGTTTCCCCTCTTTCTCTGTCCCCCCCCCCCCGTCTTCTCCCCATCTTTATTCTCCGTCTCATCTTTCTTTTTGCCTCATTCTCTTTTCTTTTCTCTCCATCTCACAATGCACCAAAACTCTCATACTTGTTATACCATTTATTGCAATTATTTATCAACATTCTCTTTCTCTCTCTTCCCCTGTCTGTAAGTACAAAACATAAACCTGGTTTCATGAAATGGCTTAGAAGCAATGCTGATCTTGGGTTCTGGAGGGGGGGGGGGACAAGCCCAAAAAGTCTGATGATCGAGCACAAAGTTTGGGCGCCTGTTTTGCTACGAAATTATTGAACAAGCATCATTACCAGAAACAAAATATGTCACAAATCATCGGTAGCAAACAATAGTTTTTTTCATTTTGACTTCTTCAGGTAACTCAGTTTTATTGATGGAAAAAACAACAAGATACAACATACGAGCATAACATCTTCAATTATCCATCTAAACAATATACATGTACACAAGTAACGTAATCAGGTTGCTACATACAAAATAAATTTAACCATGAAGATATTCTCTCCTTTTTGTTTATAAACTAAACTGCAAATGTCTCTATCAGAAACAAAGAAACTGAATTGAATGATGGAAAAGGGGATGTAATTGTAAGGCACGGTTAGATTATACCCAGCAATCATTTATACTTTCAATACTTGCTCTTAAAAAGAAAGAGTATTATTGCTTAATAATTGCTTAATAACTAGCCTGGTTATGCCAACGATTTATGTCATGCGATACAAACAAGCAATATTCTGAAAGTTATTTTTTTTCTAAGTCAAACATGCGTTCAAGGTAAATTTTTTCCTTCATTGAACAGTCAAAAGTTATACAAGATGAAAGTTACAAAATTGGGATAGATTTTTCAAATTCAAGATTATACTGGGAGTGTTATATTATAACCATATATGTCGGTACAAGAATTATTTACAATAAAAATATAGCCATTTTTTGTAAATCCATTTGTTAACATTCACTTTGTTCATGTCATAAACTGTCTTTTTTTAAAAAGATTTCTGCACCTCACAAGAAGTCTAAATTCTTGGTCTAGGAATGGACCAAAATGCTAGGCCGGGATTAAGCGTCTTGGTCCGTTCCTAGAAGCCACATATATCATCAGCATTCATCGAGCAGATTTTTTGACAAAACAAAATAACAAATGTCAGTCACATATTGAGAGCTATACACTTATTTACCTTCCACTCCATCATAATACATATATATTTATAAGTTATGCAAAATGTGCCAAATTGATTCCATTACTATTAAATTCCATTAAATTCCATTCTGTAAATAACACAAATACTACAAGTTAATTAAATTCTACATTTGAGAGGCTTTTCAAAATCAAAATATTACACCTGACAGATTTGTTTTTCTTCATGATTATATTCATGCAGAGTACATTAGAAGCTTTAAGTCTGCGAGTGAGATTTTGATAGCCCCATGTCGGGTAGAGCTACCAAATTCACCACCGCGAAACTAGCAGCACACATTTATCGCTGTATAATCTGTCAAGTTTACCCATTTTCATTTGGGTTCAAACATTTTTCTTTTTTAGAAGTATTTTCAGTGGATTCAAACCACTTCCTTTATCATTTTTTTTGTTTTTGTTATAATACCTCTTATGCCTCTTTGTCAACTGAAAATAAAATAAATATCAATTTCGCAGATAGATGACAAATTAAATGTACCATTACAAAAATGGATGCAAACACCTGCATTTTCATTTAAACAGTATTGTCTGGAATCTCTGAAAACAAAGGAATTCCATTTCTCTGTAAGTTTCTTTAAATGTTTCTGCAAAAAAACTCAAATAGTTCTAACCCTGTGTCTTAAACATACATAGACAGATGTGCAAGTAACTTGTATAAGGCACTCTTTTTTTCAAACATTCATTTGGAGCATAAAAATGGTTTCAACATTTACATGTGTACAAAATGTGATATCATACATCAAAACTGATAATTTCTTGATGAGATACACAGTATGCTTTGCAGCGAATAGGTTTCTGACATGAAAAGCATCATGTAGATGCCCAAAACAGCACGACTCGATGCAAACCAAAAGCAAGGTTCTCAAAGAAAGCTTTATTATAAAGAGATAAAATTCACACCCCTTACCCAGTATTCATACCCATGTGGAATTGGTCAAAATTTAAGAATCAATTTTCACTCTATTACTTGTCTGGTGGACGACTATGGGGCAAAATTAATGCCAGTTTTGAAAGACTTTTCAAGAAAGATTGTAACAGGAAGTTCTTCTACAAAGAAGGGAGGGATTCTCTTGACCTTCCAATTTCATAGTTGGTAATGACATGTCTGGCAAGTTGACAGACTGTAAGAAACAGGTCAGAGGTCAGAGGTCAAAGGTGAAAGTTGAGTTACATGGGAGTCCCATTGAGGTGTAAGGCTGAACATTATATTTCAAAATAATTCCATCCTTTCACTAGTACAGGGGTGTGAAAGACAACTATAATTACTCCGTGATTTAGAGTTTCTCGTATGAAGGTGTATAATGGCAAAACATAAGCTCTTTACATACTGTATGTTAAGGCCGACTGAAATTTGCGGAACAATTTAGTATAAAAGAAATGACAATTACAAAAGGTCATTTGAACTCTGGTTAACAGAACACAAACTGTCCACTTAAATTCCGCAATTTGCCAAATTTTATACAAATAGCATGGATCCTTCAAAGAAAAAGAAAATAGAATAATTGTAATATTCCAGAAAAACATAATCAGATTGAGTATAACCATTGATCAGACTAAAAGTGTCTGCTAATTTAACCATTGACTGTGTAGCTCTGCGATCTTAGATCCATACAAGTGTTACTACATTTCACTACAATTATTGGTCCTATTCTGTTAAAAAATGCCACCAAACTCCCAATGTTCTGCCATAGTTTTCAAAAAGTTAAGATCAGTTTCCCCATTAGTTAATATCTTTTCAAGAATTATTAATCATTTAACAAATAATATGTTCTAGTACAAAACTGAAATAGCAACTTTAGGTTTCAACATTTGTAAACAAACTTATATAGACATATAAACTTACAAATATTTTTTTGATATAAAACAGCTGTACACGGTTCATCTGACTTTTGTTGTGGTTCAGTCTCTTGGTTAGTAGATGCCGGTTGTCCTTATTCACTTAGCCTCTGCTCTGGTGTCCCCGATGAGATGGTGGTAGCTGGCTGGACTGGTACGGTCTGCATTCCTCCCATGGGGTGGCCCTGCATTGAGAAAGGTACAGTAGGATATGGCTGATAATTGCTGACAGGGTACATTCCAGAGAGTTGCACACTTTGAGGAGGCATACGGGGGTGGACATAGAACATGGGTTGTTGGACAGGGGGAACTATGCTAGAGGTGGTAGGGGCAATGACCATGCTAGGGTGGGTGAACATGTAAGGTAAGCCTGCCACAGGGGGTTGCGAAGGGATTGAGGATTGTTGCGAGGGGACACTCGAGGTAGCAGTGGTTAGGTTTGTGGTTGTTTGCACTGCCTGGAGCTGCACTGCCTGCATTTGCTGCCTGAGAAGCCTCATTTCTTGCTGCTGCTGCAGGAGTAGTTTTTGAAGGTCCATCTTCTCCATAGCCATGAATTCTTTAACATCATCTGGCAAGGAGTCGTCACTAGCTGAAGGCTGGGTTGCGAGGTTGGACAATGAGCTAGATAAACCCGACGATTCCTTCAGTGATGCTGTTCTACTGACTCTACTATCTGGTACAAATGCTTTGCTTTTAACATTGACCTTCCTAAACAGTTTTTCTTCCAGGCTTGCTGTACTTGTATTTCCATGCTTCCAGTGTGGAGGTTTGTTACTTGAAATGACTGCGTCAGGTTCAACAGATGAAGAGAAATCCGAGAACCCTGAATCCATTCTTGGAATCACTGTTGTTGTTGATACATCAGACATGTCATTTTCGGATGAACTGTCCTTGTTTGAAAAATCATCAGTAGAGCTGAGTGGGAAGACACCTCTCCTTGCTCCATACGACTTCTTCTTCTGTTTTCTCATCATCCTTGCTTGATTCGCCAGACTTGGTGACATATTCCATGGAATATCAATTGTTGAGGCATCTGTTAGCGTAGTATCTGTGTCCTCCCCTGCACGCTCACTTTCATTGATCATATTGCGGACAGCTGTCCAATCAAAGTCAACGTTTGGACTAGATCTTGCTTTGCGTCTCTTTTCCCGCAATCTTGCTCTGGTCTCCGAGTCCCTTAAAGTTATGGTAGAGTCATCTCCGGGTCTTTGAGCAGATTGCCGTGGAACTTGGGTTGAGTTCTGAGCTTTTATCACCGAAAGAATACTCTGTGTTCGCTGGTGAATTTCCCGGAAACGACTTAGGTGATTTGAGTCATCTGGTTTGGCCTTATCTTCGTCTGATCCACTAGATTTTTGTCTCATATTCTGTAACATCTCCTTGGTATCATCTGTAGACTGATCGGACAAAATTTCAACAGTATCCAGCAGCAGTTCTTCCTCTGTCATTTGTGTCTTTTGAAGTTGACTCTTCTGGTTGTCTGTGAAATCTTGATTTGAAACAACTTCAGTTGTTTGAGCCGTCTCCGCTGTTATTATTATTTCATCTCTCGCGTCTTCATCAGTATCCTGACCTGCAGTTTCAGAAATAGCACTGATGCTTTTTGGCGAGGGAGTGGACTTTGGAACCACTCCACCACTGGACACTTGCATGGAACCAATATCCGTTTCAGCTGGATTTCTGGACAATCGTCTGATAGAGGGAGTGGACTTTGGAGCCACTCCACCACTGGATGCTTGCATGGAACCAAAATCCGTTTCAGCGGGATTTCTGGACAATCTTCTTATTTTTGTCCTTGCCTGCATAATCAAGTTGAAATGTTCTTCTTCTTGATCATCCTCAACCTTTTTTGGTCTGGACTCTACCACTTTTTTTTTCTCTTGTGCTTCCATTTTTTTCTTCTTCAAAGCCTCCTTCCATGGCACAACAGTGGAAGATGAAGATGCTAATGCGTTATCAGTGTTTGCATCTTTCGTTTTTCTCTCAGAAGAAGTTTTAAGTTTGACATCTTTCCAGGGCACAGAGGCTTTTTCACTCACTTCTTGTCTCTTTTCTACTGGTGGAACTGGCTTTGGTGACTTCTTCTCATCCGTATTTTCAATGTTTTTCCGCTTGATCAAAGAATCTTTCCACCACGCCTCAGATTTAGCTTCATTTGTTTTTGCAGTGTCAGTGTCAGATTTTTTGGTCTCCAATGAAGTCCTCTTCTTAAGTGCATCCCTCCATGAAACTTTGACATCTTCTGGACCAGCAGACTTGGTTGGAGTAGTCACCTGCTTGGGTTTCTCTTCAACTTTATCATTTGAAGCCACTGGAGAGGGATCAGACTTTGCTTTCAGCGATCCTTTTTTAGTCCTGCTCAAGTTTTCATCCTCGAGCTGTGCCTTATCTTGTCCGAACATATTCAGTGTGCTTCGGACCATACTGCGACTTGCAAGCTTGGCCAGTTCCTTCTGGTCTTGTGTGAGAGTTTTTCCTTTGCTACTTTGCTCTTGGGTAAGTTTTCCTCCACCATATCTACTTTTAAGAACATCCCATCCACCTTGTTTTTCTGTTGATAAGGTTAGTGCCTTAGGAGACCTGGTACCTAATATCTTTGCTTCTTTATCGTCTTCAGCTTCTTTACTTTTACTGGTGAAACGAGAAGCACTTTTCTCCACTTCACTCGACAGGATATTACTTTTCTTAACGTCTTTATTTTGTGTTTCTGGTGTAGTTATGTCCACTTTTCTTGACAGGCTAATGATTGGTTTGGTACTTTCATCTTGTGTTTCCAGTACAGGTGGGTTTTCCCTTTTCGACAGGATAGTACTTTGCTTAGCATCGATATCTTGTGTTTCTGGTGTAGTTATGTCCACTTTTCTTGACAGGCTAATGATTGGTTTGGTACTTTCATCTTGTGTTTCGAGTACAGGGGGGTTTTCCCTTTTCGACAGGATATTACTTTGCTTAGCATCTAAATCTTGTGTTTCTGGTGTAGTTATGTCCACTTTTCTTGACAGGCTACTGATTGGTTTGATACTTTCTTTTTGAGTTTCCAGTACGGGTGAGTTCACCCTTTCATGCAGGGTACTCGTGGGTTCAGTATTGTCTGGTACATCTGGAAGCTGATCTTCAACTTTCTTTTCTTCTTCCAGTTCCATGTTTTCAATCACACTTTCTGGTGCAGAATGAACAATAGTTTCAACTTCCATTTGTATGCTAGCTTCCAACAATACTTCACTTTCATGTTCAGTTTGTGCAGTTTCCATTTCAAGTTCATCATTTGTCCGTTCATTCTCAACTTTAGATTCAACAGCATCATTCTGAGCTTCCTGCTTGTGACCACCAATATCGATGGGAGCTCCCATTAAATGAGACAGTCCTTCTCGTAGCATTCTCCGGCTATCAGCAGACCTGTCACGTTTCAGTATTGCAGCACCCTTGGCCATGTCAAGGGCTATAGATATACGAGATCCACTTTTATCAATATTCTTGAACGATATTGACTTCCTTCTTACGTAAGGCAGGTCTTCTTCCTGTCGCGACTCATTTCGTTTATCAATCTCAAGCATCTCCATTGGAGATAAAGCTTCCCATCCAGAATATTCAGTTCCACTTGTGATGCCCAAGCTGCTAGCTACATTTTCTTCCTGTAAATGCTTGTCTCCAGCTTTGTCTGTTTTGATAGCTGTGACATCCTCTGCTTTGTTTACTGTTATTCCTTCACCTGTGGACGATTTCATGGCACCAAAATTGTCCGTTGGTGATGAAACACCGGAATCATCACCTGAAGGAATATTACCAGTAGAATATTCAAGTAAAATTTCTCCAAGAAGTGAGTCGCGTGATGATGCTGAATTCCATTTCTCTGATTCCAGATTTAGTCGCATGTTTGGTTTCAGAGATTGATCTCTTGGTAAAAACACATCTGGTGCACCTGCTCCATCAGTGACATCCGATCCTGTACCTAACCTACTAGACATGGACTCATCAAGCTGGTCAATTTGAGCGGGAGATGAACTAACTCGTTTGGGTTTAGGGGGTGGCGCACCACATGGGAGTGGCATGCTCTTCACAACTTCATAGATTTCATGCATATTTTCATCATGCAAGCTCTCTTCATCAACACCAGCTGCCACAACAGGTGATGATGATGAAGAGGGACATAAATCTGGACGAGACTCGACAGACAACACACGTGCATTTGCATTCAAAGGGGAGGGTTGTGCAGACTGAGGGTGCTCACACGAAACATCACCAACAGAAGAACTTACCGTGACTTTTTCTGTTGCTGGCGCCTCTCTCCTGGTAATCTTGCTCTCCTGTGGCACTGAGGCTAGAGATGGTGTCGTCTTCAATGCTGATGATGGCACAGACTCAAGTGATGTTGTTGATGGCCAAGAACCTTCTGAGATGGAATCACGAGATAATGAAGCCGTTCTTTCTGATGGAGGTAGGGGGGCTCTCCTCTTCTTGTTTCTGCTCTTTGGTGCTTCTACTGCTTCTGCTGCTACTTTTGGTGACCTTGGAAGAAATTCTGCTCTAGAGTACTGTGAGGGTACTGTGACTTGTTGGGATGGTGTTGCATCTGTGCTGCTTTGAAGTTCTGAAAGAGGCTTGCGCTGTGCGTCACTGGGTTTCCCTTCTGTGGCTTCAGCTGGAATTTCCAGCATGACATCGCGCGGCTTCCTCTTGCCTCCAAACAATTTGCCGAGACCTTTTCTCTTCGCCTTGTCGCTAGATTCTTTCTTATGTTTCCCTTCAGACTTTGAATGGGGAGAACTCGTTCCTGCAGCTCCAGCTTTCTCGTCATCATTTGCATTATTATTGTGATTCTCTTGTACTTCAATATCATCTGAATTGCTGTTGTTAACATTTAGAACATTGCCATTGTTATTGTTTGAGTTTGGGTTGTCATCTTTATCAGAGTCTGAGCCAATACCAATTGCATCCGCGACCCTGGAGAAGAAACCTTCTGAATCCGACGAAGACGAGGATGAGGATGAGCTTTCAGATCCACTACCAATTCCAACCGCTCCTAGAAGACTGAATCCAGACTTCTTCTTTTTTTTGTCCTTCTTCTCTTTTTTCTCGCTCCCGTCTTTCTTGCGGTCCTTCCTCTTTTTCTTCTTTTCCTTCTTTCCCCCACCTATACCAAGGCTTCCTCCAATGCTAATTCCTCCTTCAGGTAAATCTACATTAATACCAGCACCTGCATCACCACCTGCTGAGACATCTGCACCCAGGGCTCCACCACCACCAAGCGATGCAGAAGGAATGTTGGAAGATAAATCACCATCAGTATTTATATCACCACCTAAGCCTAACTTCATATCACCCTTTCCATCTGCATCAACACCACCAATGCCAAGGCTGCTGCTACCAATACCACCTCCAAAGCCTCCTCCTATGTCCACATTCGATCCTCCCCCAATGCCCCCTTGTCCACCAATGCTGAAATCTGGTTTGTCAACATTAGCATCTACATCTATTCCTCCTCCTCCTCCTAGGCTTCCGCCGAGTCCTCCTCCTCCTCCTAGGCTGAAGTCTGGTTTGTCAACATCGGCATCAACATTTATTCCTCCTCCACCAATGCCAAATCCTCCTCCTCCTCCTCCTAGGCTCAAGTCAGGTTTGTCTACATTAGCATCTAGGTCTACTCCTCCTCCACCAATGCCAAATCCAAATCCACCTCCTCCTCCTCCTCCTCCTAGGCCGATCTCTCGTTTGTCAACATTAGCATCTAGGTCTACTCCTCCTCCTCCACCTAGGCTTCCGCCGAGTCCTCCTCCTCCTCCTAGGCTGAAGTCTGGTTTGTCAACATCGGCATCAACATTTATTCCTCCTCCACCAATGCCGAGTCCTCCTCCACCTCCTAGGCTCAAGTCTGGTTTGTCAACATCGGCATCAACATTTATTCCTCCTCCACCAATGCCAAATCCAAATCCACCTCCTCCTCCTCCTCCTCCTAGGCCTATCTCTCTTTTGTCAACATTAGCATCTAGGTCTACTCCTCCTCCTCCACCTAGGCTTCCGCCGAGCCCACCTCCTCCTCCTAGGCTGATGTCTGGTTTGTCAACATTAGCATCTAGGTCAACTCCTCCTCCTCCACCTAGGCTTCCGCCAAGTCCTCCTCCACCTCCTAGGCTGAAGTCTGGTTTCTCAACATTGGCATCAACATTTATTCCTCCTCCACCAATGCCAAATCCAAATCCACCTCCTCCTCCTCCTCCTCCTAGGCCGATCTCTCGTTTGTCAACATTAGCATCTAGGTCAACTCCTCCTCCACCTAGGCTTCCGCCGAGACCTCCTCCTAGGCTTCCGCCGAGTCCACCTCCTCCTCCTAGGCTCAAGTCAGGTTTGTCTACATTAGCATCTAGGTCTACTCCTCCTCCTCCACCAAGGCTGAAGTCTGGTTTGTCAACATCGGCATCAACATTTATTCCTCCTCCACCAATGCCAAATCCAAATCCACCTCCTCCTCCTCCTCCTCCTAGGCCGATCTCTGGTTTGTCAACATTAGCATCTAGGTCAACTCCTCCTCCACCTAGGCTTCCGCCGAGACCTCCTCCTAGGCTTCCGCCGATTCCACCTCCTCCTCCTAGGCTGATGTCTGGTTTGTCAACATTAGCATCTAGGTCAACTCCTCCTCCTCCACCTAGGCTTCCGCCAAGTCCTCCTCCACCTCCTAGGCTGAAGTCTGGTTTCTCAACATTGGCATCAACATTTATTCCTCCTCCACCAATGCCAAATCCAAATCCACCTCCTCCTCCTCCTCCTCCTAGGCCGATCTCTCGTTTGTCAACATTAGCATCTAGGTCAACTCCTCCTCCACCTAGGCTTCCGCCGAGTCCACCTCCTCCTCCTAGGCTCAAGTCAGGTTTGTCTACATTAGCATCTAGGTCTACTCCTCCTCCTCCACCTAGGCTGAAGTCTGGTTTGTCAACATCGGCATCAACATTTATTCCTCCTCCACCAATGCCAAATCCAAATCCACCTCCTCCTCCTCCTCCTCCTAGGCCGATCTCTGGTTTGTCAACATTAGCATCTAGGTCAACTCCTCCTCCACCTAGGCTTCCGCCGAGACCTCCTCCTAGGCTTCCGCCGATTCCACCTCCTCCTCCTAGGCTGATGTCTGGTTTGTCAACATTAGCATCTAGGTCAACTCCTCCTCCTCCACCTAGGCTTCCGCCGAGTCCTCCTCCACCTCCTAGGCTGAAGTCTGGTTTCTCAACATTGGCATCAACATTTATTCCTCCTCCACCAATGCCGAATCCTCCTCCTCCTCCTCCTAGGCTGATGTCTGGTTTGTCAACTTTAGCATCTAGGTCGACTCCTCCTCCACCTAGGCTTCCGCCGAGTCCTCCTCCTCCTCCTCCTAGGCTGAAGTCTGGTTTCTCAACATTGGCATCAACATTTATTCCTCCTCCACCAATGCCGAATCCTCCTCCTCCTCCTCCTAGGCCGATCTCTGGTTTGTCAACATTAGCATCTAGGTCAACTCCTCCTCCACCTAGGCTTCCGCCGAGACCTCCTCCTAGGCTTCCGCTGAGTCCACCTCCTCCTCCTAGGCTGATGTCTGGTTTGTCAATATTAGCATCTAGGTCAACTCCTCCTCCTCCTCCTAGGCTTCCGCCGAGTCCTCCTCCACCTCCTAGGTTGATGTCTGGTTTGTCAACATTAGCATCTAGGTCAACTCCTCCTCCTCCACCTAGGCTTCTGCCAAGTCCTCCTCCACCTCCTAGGCTGAAGTCTGGTTTCTCAACATTGGCATCAACATTTATTCCTCCTCCACCAATGCCGAATCCTCCTCCTCCTCCACCTAGACCTCCTCCAATGCCTATTCCACCTCCAACGTCAACATCAGGTTTAGGAATGTCTACATCAGCGTCTCCTTTTCCACCAAATCCAAAGCCAAAGCCGAATCCTTTTTTACCCTTCTTCTTTTTCTTCTTGTCCTTTTTGGATTTTTTCTTTCCTTCTGAGTCATTGGAATCTGAACTGCTGCTGCTTGAGGAACTGCTGGAACTATCTTTTTTAGATTTGCCAAAGCCAAAGCCAAATCCACCTCCTCCTCCTCCTCCTCCTCCTAGGCTGATGTCTGGTTTGTCAACATTAGCATCTAGGTCGATTCCTCCTCCTCCTCCACCTAGGCTTCCGCCGAGACCTCCTCCTCCTCCTAGGTTAATGTCTGCTCCTCCTCCTAGGTTGATGTCTGGTTTGTCAACATTAGCATCTAGGTCGACTCCTCCTCCACCTAGGCTTCCACCGAGTCCTCCTCCTCCTAGACTGAAGTCTGGTTTTTCAACATTGGCATCAACATTCATTCCTCCTCCACCAATGCCGATTTCTCCTCCTCCGAGGCTTCCGAGTCCTCCTCCTCCCCCTCCCCCTAGGTTGATGTCTGGTTTGTCAACATTAGCATCTAGGTCGACTCCTCCTCCACCTAGGCTTCCGCCGAGTCCTCCTCCTCCTCCTAGGTTAATGTCTGCACCTCCTCCTAGGTTGATGTCTGGTTTGTCAACATTAGCATCTAGGTCGACTCCTCCTCCACCTAGGCTTCCGCCGAGTCCTCCTCCTCCTCCTAGACTGAAGTCTGGTTTTTCAACATTGGCATCAACATTTATTCCTCCTCCACCAATGCCAAATCCTCCTCCTCCTCCTCCTAGGCTCAAGTCAGGTTTGTCTACATTAGCATCTAGGTCGACTCCTCCTCCACCTAAGCTTCCGCCGAGTCCTCCTCCTCCTCCTAGGTTAATGTCTGCACCTCCTCCTAGGTTGATGTCTGGTTTGTCAACATTAGCATCTAGGTCTAATCCTCCTCCTCCACCTAGGCTTCCGCCGAGTCCTCCTCCTCCACCTAGGCTGAAGTCTGGTTTGTCAACATCGGCATCAACATTTATTCCTCCTCCACCAATGCCAAATCCAAATCCACCTCCTCCTCCTCCTCCTCCTAGGCTGATCTCTCGTTTGTCAACATTAGCATCTAGGTCAACTCCTCCTCCTCCTCCTAGGCTTCCGCCGAGTCCTCCTCCACCTCCTAGGTTGATGTCTGGTTTGTCAACATTAGCATCTAGGTCAACTCCTCCTCCTCCTCCTAGGCTTCCGCCAAGTCCTCCTCCACCTCCTAGGCTGAAGTCTGGTTTGTCAACATTGGCATCAACATTTATTCCTCCTCCACCAATGCCAAATCCTCCTCCTCCTCCTCCCCCTCCTCCGAGGTTTCCCCCAAGTCCTCCTCCTCCTCCTAGGTTGATGTCTGGTTTGTCAACATTAGCACCGACATCTAGACCTCCGCCTCCACCTAGGCCTCCTCCAATTCCTATTCCACCTCCAACGTCAACATCAGGTTTAGGAATGTCTACATCAGCGTCTCCTTTTCCACCAAATCCAAAGCCAAAGCCGAATCCTTTTTTACCCTTCTTCTTTTTCTTCTTGTCCTTTTTGGATTTTTTCTTTCCTTCTGAGTCACTGGAATCTGAACTGCTGCTGCTTGAGGAACTGCTGGAACTACTGGAACCATCCTTTTTCGATTTGCCGAAGCCAAATCCAAATCCAAATTTTCCTTTCTTTTTACCATCAGCATCTACATCAAGGTCTGGCTTGTCTACATCCACCTTTGCATCTCCACCTAGTTTACCACCTCCCCCAATGTTGATGTCTGGTTTATTAATATCAATGCCTCCTCCAATGCCAAATCCTCCTCCTCCTTTCACGTCTGCTACATTGACATCTACTTCTCCATTTGTTCCAGCACCAATTCCACCTCCAATATCTAGCTTGGGCTTGTCAACATCCATATCGAGACCTCCTCCTACACCTATTCCACCACCAAACCCTCCGATACCTCCTCCTGGCTTACTGGATTTGATGCTAGCATCTATTTCAGGTTTAACAGATATATCTGCGTCTCCGTTGACATCTATTCCCCCTGATGGTAGTGATGCATCAATTGCAGGTGATTTGATGTCTGCACCTCCACCTCCTGAGCCTCCAAATCCAAGTTTACCTCCAATCTTGAACTTCCCACTTTTATCCTTCTTTCCAGATCCATCCTTCTTTCCTTTCTTGCCAAACTTCAGGCCAAATCCACCTTCAGGAGCATCTACGTCTATATCTCCTTTGCCATTGATGTCATCTTCGCCGGATGGAGAGGACACATCTACATCTGCACCCCCTCCCAGCTTTCCACCAATTTTGAATTTGCCTTTCTTGTCCTTCTTTCCAGAGCCTTTCTTTCCCTTCTTTCCAAAACCGAATCCAAAACCACCCGATGGGGCATCAATTTCAGGACCTTTAACATCCAGAGAAGCATCTGGTACATTTACATCAACATCTGGCCCTTTCACGGACAGGTCTGCAGTACCCCCAATGTCTGGTTTAGCAGATTTGATGTCTATATCAACCTCGGGTTTAACAGAAATATCCGCATCACCCGAAGGCAGTTTGATCTCTCCCTTTGGTGATTCTACATCCATGTCTGCACCTCCTGAGCCTCCGAATCCCAATTTTCCACCGATCTTGAATTTTCCTTTTTTGTCCTTCTTTCCAGAGCCTCCTTTCTTGTCTTTCTTTCCAAAACCAAAGCCAAAGCCGCCTGATGGTGCATCTATGTCTGGACCTTTAAGATCAACATCAGGAGAACTGGCATTACCACCTAAATTGGCATCTCCTCCTATACCGGCTGATATTTCTGGGGCATTGAGATCAGCATCTCCATTCACATGACCTTTAGCTCCGCCTCCTAATTTTGCTTTCCCGAAGTGAAATCCTCCCCCTTTGCCTTTCTTGCCTGAACCCTTCTTTCCACCGATGTTAAAGCCACCTCCAATGTCTGCTTTTGGCCCTTCAATATCTACATCTTTTATGCCACCAACACCAATGTCCCCACCGATGTTAGCCCCTGGCTTGGATGATTTGATATTAATATCTGCTTCCGGCTTGACTACATCAAGGCCAGCATCTACATCTGCAGCGCCAATAGTGATGCCACCTCCACCAAGATTTACCTTGCCATCTAGTCCACCACTAAGATCAGCATCACCTTTTACGTTTGGGCCTTTCACATCAATGTCCGCTCCAATGCCACCACCAAGCTTAACATCTTTCTTGTCATCATCAGAATCAGAATCAGATCCACCAAAGCTAAGGTTTATGCCAAAGAAACCTCCCTTCTTCTTTTTCTTCTTCTTCTTCCCTTTACCGCCAATATCAAATTTACCCTCTGGAGGACTCACGCTCAAATCTCCCGACAAATCTGCATCTCCATCCCCTCCAACAGCGACATCAGGTCCTTTGATGTCAACATCGCCTTTGGCTGAAATGTCTACATCTGGAACTTCAGCAGACCCTTTTGCTGACTTTCCAAATCCAAATCCAAATCCACCCTTTCCTTTCTTTCCAGATCCTTTTCCCTTTTTCCCGAAACCAAATCCAAGTCCAGCATCTGGAGCATCAATATCCGGTGCATCAAGTTTCAGATCTGCTTCTGGTAGATCAACATTAGGTTTTCCTGCACGAATGTTGATATCAGCTTCTGGTTTTACAGACACATCTGGTCCATCGAGAGAAAGACCTCCTGATGGAGCACCAATACCACCACTGATTCCACCTCCAAGTCCTCCACCCAGTTCCCCACCAAGTCCTCCAGAGACATCGAGGTCTGGTTTATTGACATCTACATCAAGTCCACCCTTTCCACCAACGTCTATATCTGGACCACTCAATGATGCTTTTCCAGATGGAAGTCCAATGCCTCCTCCAAATCCACCTTTGCCACCAAAGCCGAGTCCTCCTCCTCCTCCTAGGTTGATGTCTGGTTTGTCAACATTAGCATCTAGGTCCACTCCTCCTCCTCCGCCTAGGCTTCCGCCGAGTCCTCCTCCTCCTCCTAGACTGAAGTCTGGTTTGTCAACATTGGCATCAACATTTATTCCTCCTCCACCAATGCCAAATCCTCCTCCCCCTCCTCCGAGGTTTCCTCCGAGGTTTCCACCGAGTCCTCCTCCTCCTCCAAGGTTGATGTCTGGTTTGTCAACATTAGCATCTAGGTCTACTCCTCCTCCACCAATGCCAAATCCTCCTCCCCCTCCTCCGAGGGTTCCACCAAGTCCTCCTCCTCCTCCAAGGTTGATGTCTGGTTTGTCAACATTAGCATCTAGGTCTACTCCTCCTCCTCCGCCTAGGCTTCCGCCAAGTCCTCCTCCTCCTCCTAGGCTGATGTCTGGTTTGCCAACATTAGCATCTAGGTCTACTCCTCCTCCTCCGCCTAGGCTTCCGCCGAGTCCTCCTCCTCCTCCTAGACTGAAGTCTGGTTTGTCAACATTGGCATCAACATTTATTCCTCCTCCACCAATGCCAAATCCTCCTCCCCCTCCTCCGAGGTTTCCACCAAGTCCTCCTCCTCCTCCTAGGCTGATGTCTGGTTTGCCTACATTAGCATCTAGGTCTACTCCTCCTCCTCCACCTAGGCTTCCGCCGAGTCCTCCTCCTCCTCCTAGGTTAATGTCTGGTTTGTCAACATTGGCATCAACATTTATTCCTCCTCCACCAATGCCAAATCCTCCTCCCCCTCCTCCGAGGTTTCCACCGAGTCCTCCTCCTCCTAGACTGATGTCTGGTTTGCCTACATTAGCATCTAGGTCTACTCCTCCTCCTCCTCCTAGACTGAAGTCTGGTTTGTCAACATTGGCATCAACATTTATTCCTCCTCCACCAATGCCAAATCCTCCTCCCCCTCCTCCGAGGTTTCCACCGAGTCCTCCTCCTCCTCCAATATCAGTCTTGACATCTGGTAATTCTCCATTGGCATCAACATTCATATCGGGTCCTTTTACTTTCAAGTCACCACCAGCATCTACTCCTCCTCCAAGCTTTGGACCTTTGAAGCCAAATCCGAAGCCCTTGCGGCCACCACCTTCTTCATCTGAACTTGAGCTTGAATCTGATGAGGATGTATGATCACCACTGCCTCCAAATCCCAGGTTGAATCCACCAAATCCAAACTTCTTGCTCTTTCTTTTCTTCTTCTTCTTCTTCCCTTTTACACCTCCCTTAATGTCGACATCTGGTGCATTTACATCAATGTCTCCTTTAACATCAGCATCGATGTCTCCTCCGACTTTCACATCTGGAGCATCAACATCTGCATCTCCTCCTAGCTTGAACTTGCCACCAATGCCAAAGCCTTTGTCTTTCTTTCCTCCTCCAGAAATGTTGTATTTCTTTTTCTTTCCACCAAGGCTAAATCCAGCATCTGGTGCATCTACATCAAGACCCCCACCATTAACGGAAGCATCAACATCTGGAGCACCAACATCAACTTTTCCTGAGAGATCAGCATCTGCTTCATGTCCTTTAGATCCAAACTTGAAGCCTCCCAACTTGAATTTCCCCTTGCCTTTGCTTCCTTTCTTCACTTTTGGTCCTTTAATATTTACATCAAGATCAGCATCAGGGCCATCAACATCAACATTTCCTACAGCTACTGTTCCACCAAGACCACCTCCGATTCCCATATCAATGTCTGGCTTTCCTGCTTTGATGTTGATATCGGTCTCTGGTTTAATGTTGATGTCTGCTCCTCCATCAATATCAGGCCCCGAGATACCACCTCCAATTTTGGGTCCTTTAATGTCAATATCAGCATCAGGTCCATTCAGATCTACACCAATTCCTCCCCCTAGTCCAGCTTTTCCTCCAATTCCTCCTCCAGCATCAATGTCAGCATCAACATCTCCTGCCCCACCATGACCTCCAAATTTGGGCATTTTCAGTCCAAAGCCGAATCCACCTTTGCCCTTTTTCTTCCCACTGCCTCTGCCTTTGATTTTAGGGCCATTTATGTCAACATCAGGTCCATCAATGGAAATGTCTCCTTTCGGTAGGTCAGCATCAATATTACCTCCAGCTCCACCACCGATATCCAGGCCAACTCCTCCTGATGGAAGGTCTGCATCCCCACTGACATCAAGGTCAGGTCTCTCAATGTCGACGTCTGCATCTACATCAATATCACCTTTGCCATGGCCTCCAAATCCAAATTTGGGCATTTTCAGTCCAAATCCAAATCCACCTTTGCCCTTCTTCTTTCCATCTCCATCGATGTCCAGATCAGGTCCACTTACATCAAGGTCTGGGCCTGAGATGTCACCTCCAACTTTTGGCCCCTTGGCATCAATGTCGAGTCCTCCATCAATTCCTCCTCCGATCCCTCCTCCAACATCCAGGTCAACTCCACCAGATGGCAAATCAATATCACCTCCGATATCAGGCTTGCCAGTCTTTACTTTGATATCACCTTCAGGTATGACAACACCGCCATCTGCATCTACATCGATATCACCTTTGCCATGGCCTCCAAATCCAAAGTTGGGTCCATGAATTTTGGGCATTTTCAGTCCAAATCCAAATCCCCCTTTGCCCTTCTTCTTTCCATCTACATCGATATCCAGATCGGGTCCACTTACATCAAGGTCTGGGCCTGAGATGTCTCCTCCAACTTTTGGCCCCTTGATGTCAACATCAGGACCATTGGCATCAATGTCTAGTCCTCCACCGAGTCCTCCTCCGATCCCTCCTCCAACATCCAGGCCAACTCCTCCTGATGGAAGGTCTGCATCCCCACTGACATCAAGGTCAGGTCTCTCAATATCAACGTCTGCATCTACGTCAATATCACCTTTGCCATGGCCTCCAAATCCGAATTTGGGCATTTTCATTCCAAATCCAAATCCACCTTTGCCCTTCTTCTTTCCATCTACATCGATATCTACATCGGGTCCACTTACATCTAGGTCTGGGCCTGAGATGTCACCTCCAACTCTTGGCCCCTTGATGTCAACATCAGGACCATTGGCATCAATGTCTAGTCCTCCACCAAGTCCTCCTCCGATCCCTCCTCCAACATCCAGGCCAACTCCTCCTGATGGAAGGTCTGCATCCCCACTGACATCAAGGTCAGGTCTCTCAATATCAACGTCTGCATCTACGTCAATATCACCTTTGCCATGGCCTCCAAATCCGAAATTAGGCCCATGAATTTTGGGCATTTTCAGTCCAAATCCAAATCCACCTTTGCCCTTCTTCTTTCCATCTACATCGATATCAACATCGGGTCCACTTACATCTAGGTCTGGGCCTGAGATGTCACCTCCAACTCTTGGCCCCTTGATGTCAACATCAGGACCTTTGGCATCAATGTCTAGTCCTCCACCAAGTCCTCCTCCGATCCCTCCTCCAATTCCTCCTCCAACATCCAGGTCAACTCCACCAGATGGCAAATCAACATCACCTCCGATATCAGGCTTGCCAGTCTTTACTTTGATATCACCTTCAGGTATGACAACACCGCCATCTGCATCTACATCGATATCACCTTTGCCATGGCCTCCAAATCCAAAGTTGGGTCCATGAATTTTGGGCATTTTTAGTCCAAATCCAAATCCACCTTTTCCCTTTTTCTTTCCATCTACATCGATATCCAGATCGGGTCCACTCACATCAAGGTCTGGGCCTGAGATGTCACCTCCAACTTTTGGCCCCTTGATGTCAACATCAGGACCATTGGCATCAATGTCTAGTCCTCCACCGAGTCCGCCTCCGATCCCTCCTCCAACATCCAGGCCAACTCCTCCTGATGGAAGGTCTGCATCCCCACTGACATCAAGGTCAGGTCTCTCAATATCAACGTCTGCATCTACGTCAATATCACCTTTGCCATGGCCTCCAAATCCGAATTTGGGCATTTTCATTCCAAATCCAAATCCACCTTTGCCCTTCTTCTTACCGCTGCCTTTGATTTTAGGGCCTTTGATGTCTACATCAGGTCCATCAATTGAAATGTCTCCTTTGGGTAGGTCAGCATCAATATCACCTCCAGCTCCACCGCTGATATCCAGGCCAACTCCTCCTGATGGAAGGTCTGCATCCCCACTGACATCAAGGTCAGGTCTTTCAATATCAACGTCTGCATCTACGTCAATATCACCTTTGCCATGGCCTCCAAACCCGAATTTGGGCATTTTCAGTCCAAATCCAAATCCACCTTTTCCCTTTTTCTGTCCATCTACATCGATATCCAGATCGGGTCCACTTACGTCAAGGTCTGGGCCTGAGATGTCACCTCCAACTTTTGGTCCTTTTATGTCAACATCAGGACCATTAGCATCAATGTCTAGTCCTCCACCAATACCTCCTCCAACATCAAGTCCTCCTCCAATGTCAGGCTTGCCAGTCTTCAAGTTGACATCAACTTCAGGTTTGTCAATTTCAACATCTGCATCTACGTCAATATCACCTTTGCCATGGCCTCCAAATCCATGGAATTTGGGCATTTTCAGTCCAAATCCAAATCCACCTTTGCCCTTCTTCTTCTTGCCTCCTTTGATTTTAGGGCCTTTGATATCAGCATCAGGTCCATCAATGGAAATGTCGCCTTTGGGTAAGTCAGCATCAATATCACCTCCAGCTCCACCGCTGATATCCAGGCCAACTCCTCCCGATGGAAGGTCTGCTTCCCCACTGACATCAAGGTCAGGTCTTTCTATATCAGCGTCTGCATCTACATCAATATCACCTTTGCCATGGCCTCCAAATCCGAATTTGGGCATTTTCAGTCCAAATCCAAATCCACCTTTGCCCTTCTTTCCACCTCCATCTATGTCCAGATCAGGTCCACTTACATCAAGGTCTGGGCCTGAGATGTCACCTCCAACTTTTGGTCCTTTTATGTCAACATCAGGACCTTTAGCATCAATGTCTAGTCCTCCACCGAGTCCTCCTCCGACATCCAGTCCTCCTCCAATGTCAGGCTTGCCAGTTTTTACTTTGATATCACCTTCAGGTATGACAACACCGACATCTGCATCCACATCAATATCACCTTTGCCATTGCCTCCAAATCCGAAGTTGGGTCCATGAATTTTGGGCATTTTCAGTCCAAATCCAAATCCACCTTTGCCCTTCTTCTTTCCATCTACATCGATATCCAGATCGGGTCCACTCACATCAAGGTCTGGGCCTGAGATATCACCTCCAACTTTAGGGCCCTTGAAGTCAACATCAGGACCATCAATGGAAAGATCAGCATCTGGACCTTTTGCATCAATGTCTATTCCTCCACCGATTCCTCCTCCGATCCCTCCTCCAACATCCAGGCCAACTCCTCCTGATGGAAGGTCTGCATCCCCACTGACATCAAGGTCTGGTCTTTCAATATCAACGTCTGCATCTACATCAATATCACCTTTGCCATGGCCTCCAAATCCGAAGTTGGGTCCATGAATTTTGGGCATTTTCATTCCAAATCCAAATCCACCTTTGCCCTTCTTCTTTCCATCTACATCGATATCCAGGTCAGGTCCACTTACATCAAGGTCTGGGCCTGAGATGTCACCTCCAACTCTTGGCCCCTTGATGTCAACATCAGGACCTTTGGCATCAATGTCTAGTCCTCCACCGAGTCCGCCTCCGATCCCTCCTCCAACATCCAGGCCAACTCCACCAGATGGCAAATCAACATCACCTCCGATATCAGGCTTGCCGGTCTTTACTTTGATATCACCTTCAGGTATGACAACACCGCCATCTGCATCTACATCGATATCACCTTTGCCATTGCCTCCAAATCCGAAGTTGGGTCCATGAATTTTGGGCATTTTCAGTCCAAATCCAAATCCACCTTTGCCCTTCTTCTTTCCATCTCCACTGATGTCCAGGTCAGGTCCACTAACATCAAGGTCTGGGCCTGAGATGTCACCTCCAACTCTTGGCCCCTTGATGTCAACATCAGGACCATTGGCATCAATGTCTAGTCCTCCACCGAGTCCGCCTCCGATCCCTCCTCCAACATCCAGGCCAACTCCTCCTGATGGAAGGTCTGCATCCCCACTGACATCAAGGTCAGGTCTCTCAATATCAACGTCTGCATCTACGTCAATATCACCTTTGCCATGGCCTCCAAATCCGAATTTGGGCATTTTCATTCCAAACCCAAATCCACCTTTGCCTTTCTTCTTACCGCTGCCTTTGATTTTAGGGCCTTTGATGTCTACATCAGGTCCATCAATTGAAATGTCTCCTTTGGGTAGGTCAGCATCAATATCACCTCCAGCTCCACCGCTGATATCCAGGCCGACTCCTCCTGATGGAAGGTCTGCATCACCACTGACATCAAGGTCAGGTCTTTCAACATCAACATCTGCATCTACGTCGATATCACCTTTGCCATGGCCTCCAAATCCAAATTTAGGCATTTTCATTCCAAATCCAAATCCACCTTTGCCCTTCTTTCCACCTCCATCAATGTCCAGATCAGGTCCACTTACATCAAGGTCTGGGCCTGAGATGTCACCTCCAACTTTTGGTCCTTTTATGTCAACATCAGGACCATTAGCATCAATGTCTAGTCCTCCACCGAGTCCTCCACCGATCCCTCCTCCAACATCCAGGCCAACTCCACCAGATGGTAAATCAACATCACCTCCGATATCAGGCTTGCCAGTCTTTACTTTGATATCACCTTCTGGTTTGACAACACCAACATCTGCATCTACATCGATATCACCTTTGCCATGGCCTCCAAATCCGAATTTGGGCATTTTCAGTCCAAATCCAAATCCACCTTTGCCCTTTTTCTTTCCATCTACATCGATATCCAGATCGGGTCCATTTACATCAAGGTCTGGGCCTGAGATGTCACCTTTCAGTTTTGGTCCCTTGATATCAACATCAGGACCATCAACTGAGAGATCTGCATTAGCTCCACCGCCAATCCCCCCTCCAATTCCTCCTCCAAGTCCAAATCCACCTGATGGTAAGTCAGCATCTCCACTCATGCTGGGCTTAGCAGTTTTCACATCGACATCAAGCTCAGGCTTGGCAACATCAATGTCAGCATCAACTCCAGCTCCACCGTGGCCTCCAAACTTGGGTCCTTTGAAGCCAAAGCCAAACTTTCCCTTCTTTTTCCCACCTGCATCTATATCGACATCTGGACCACTTACATCTCCCTTTAGCTTTGGACCATCAATGTCAATGTCAGCTCCACCCTTGACATCAGCATCGACATCCATATCTGCATCTCCTTTACCACCAAAGTTAAAGTCAAATTTAGGTAACTTGAAACTGAACCCTCCCTTCTTCTTTTTCTTCTTCGGTTTCAGGTGCATATCAAGGTCTGCGTCTGGAGCTTTAACCTTGCCTCCAATACCCCTACCAAAGTTGCCACCTCCTCCAAGAGATGCTTCTGGAAGATCTGCATCAACATCAGCTCCACCTCCCACTCTTGCTGAGGGTAGATCAATCCCACCAGCTCCTCCTAATCCAATTTTTGGTGTGTCAACATCCATTCCTACGTTTCCTGAAGGCATGTTAATGCCACCTCCTGCACCTCCGCCAAAGTTGGCAGATGGGCCACCTATTCCACCTCCAATGCCAATACCGCCTGATGGTAAAGAAGCACCTCCAGATCCTCCGAAGCCCCCCTTCATGCCAATGTCTCCTGAAGGCATGTCCATTCCACCGCCAAGCTTGATATCACCGGATGGTAAGTTACCTCCAATATCCCCTCCTCCACCTAGTCCTATGCTTCCTTTGGGCATCTGTACATCTCCACCAGCCTTGAGGTCTCCAGATGGCAAGTCAATTCCACCACCCATACCACCTCCAAAACCTCCTCCAATGTTGGGCTTAGCAGTTTTCACATTGACATCAAGTTCAGGCTTGGCAACATCAATTCCACCACCCATACCACCTCCAAAACCTCCTCCAATGTTGGCAGATGGTGCATCAATTCCACCTCCTATTCGCCCAGAAGGAAGATCTACACCCCCATCAACATCGACGCCTCCACCACCACCAAGTCCAAAGCCCCCTTTAGGACCATCAATTCTTCCAGATGGCAAGTTAACATCAACTCCTCCTGATGGCAGATTGGCATCTCCACCAGCGTTTATGCCTACTTTGGGTGCATTTACATCTATGCCTCCACCACCCAAACCACCTCCAAAACCTCCTCCAATGTTGGCAGATGGTGCATCGATTCCACCTCCTATTCGCCCAGAAGGAAGATCTACACCCCCATCAACATCGACGCCTCCATGACCACCAAGTCCAAATCCACCTTTAGGGGTATCAATTCCTCCACCTATGTTTACACCAGCTGATGGCACATCACCTCCTACTTTCAGGCCTGCAGATGGAAGATCAGCATCAACATTTAGTCCTCCTCCAAATCCACCACCCATACGTCCAGATGGTAAATCCCCTTTCACATCAACATCTCCTGATGGTACATCAGCTTTTAGGTCTGCCGTTGGACTCTTCCCCTTTCCACCAAAGGAAAGAGAAGGCATTTTGAAACCAAACCTTCCCTTTCCTTTTCTGTCGGCGTCTCCATCAAGGTCTACTTTTGCATCTGGTCCTTCAACATCAACACCACCCCCAATGCCACCACCGATTCCTCCTCCAATGTCTGCTCCTCCACCTACAGAAACATCACCACTTGGAACGTCTCCCTTCGCACCACCTCCAAATCCAAATCCAAATCCTTTCTTTGATTTTTTTGGTTTTCCCATTTTCACTGAAGCATCAATTTGTGGTTTTACAGCTAAGGATGCATCACCTGATGGTAATGATGCATCAATGTTCCCGCCCGGAGCATTAACATCAAGTCCTGCAGAAGCACCTCCTTGAGGTACATCCATGTTGGCACCACCAGAGACTCCTCCTCCAAATTTAGGTCCTTTCAGTTTAATGTTTCCTTCACCTTCATCGTCAGATGAGTCGGATGATGACGATGAGTCACCACCAAATCCTAATTTTGCAAAGAATCCCGGCCTCTTCCTTTTGCGTGGTTTCGATTTGGCTCCAAAATCGAGTGAAACATCTGCATCTGGTAAAGAAGCATCGGCACTGAGGTCTCCTTTGGCACCTGCACCTCCTTTCTTTTTGAACATTCCTCTTGGTAATGAGCCTTTCCCCTTCTTGCCAACTTGAACATTTGGTGCATCGACATTCAGACCAGCACCTCCTTTTCCACCAACGTCCACACTTGGCGCTCCTCCCAGGTCAACTTTGGCTGATGGAGCATTTCCACTTATACCAACTCCAGCTCCACCGGAAACATCTGCTCCAGCATTACCACTCCCCTGTTATATATAAAAAGAAAAGAAAAGAAAACAGAAACGAAAATTACTACAATGATACTACAAAAGTTGTATTTTATTTGATAGCTTCATTTCTAAACTTCTTTAAGGGAGCGAGAGATGCATGATGGGTAAACCATTCCAGAAACATTCTTGAAAAGTACAGAAATTCAACGATTAGAAAAGATTGTTGATATTCTGGAAGGAATCAAAACTGTTAAGATTAGAACATGGATGCATTGTTTCCTGTTCACTTTAATACCTCAAGATAATGGCGTGTAAATTTGTCTCTCCCTAAGTATATTTCATATATATTGCTCAGGCTAGGTTTAATTGAATTTAACCTCAAACCAAATTTCACTCATTCTCCCCCTGTGATCTTGAAGTCACTGATTACCATAAAAACATGAATTATTCTTTCTCAATGAGGGCAAAGTTCATGTCTCACACTATGAACATGACGGACAAAGAAAGCAGACAAAATATTACAGTTCCTCATTCTACCCTCAACAATTGCTTTAGAATACAAAGGAACATCCCTTCACTGCTGTAAAAATGTGTAGAACAGGTGAATATGCATGTGACACCTGTTCTACACATTTTTACATAATAGCAGTGAAGGGATGTTCCTTTGTCTACCAAAGCAATTGTTGAGGGTAGAATGAGGAACTGTAATATTTTGTCTGCTTTCTTTGTCCATCATGTTCAGTGTCAGTAGACCATTTGCAAAATGTCTTCACAATTTATACTTATTTACACAGCAACAAGATCGCAACTAGCATAAATTACTTGCTGCTGGGCAGGACAAACTTTATGGCTTGCCCCCATCCGGAATTAGCACTCCGATTACTGAAATGTCCTGCCTAATACCTAGCAACAACTAATATGTGCAATTCATATTCAGACTGTAGAGATATATTCATTCCCCGGCCCCCCCCCCCACTCCGAGAACGGACGGACCCCATGCGTGTTGCCAAAATGTCCTTTTCGTAACAAAAGAAAAAGGTCGACCCGTATTGACTTTACACACCGGACTTTTGCTGAAAGGGGGGGGGGGTGCTGAAAAAGGCTCGTATACAAAAGAAAAAGGTAGAGCCGTATTGACTTTACACACCGGACTTTTGCTGAAAAGGGGGGGTCGGTTGGAACACGCATATGCGTACCCTAAATAACACTGAGTGGGGGTGCCGGGATTCATTCCTAACAGGTGAATGAAATGATTTATAGTGAGGCACTTCACAAAGACCTAGGGGCTGAATTTGGTTACAATACGAAAATGGCCTATTCTTTCGGATACACCCAATTGGTCTCTTACTCACCCCGACAGAGAGTGATGCTGAAGGCAAGCCGATTCCGACAGAACCTGATGGTAATCCACCTCCGACCGAACCTCCGAGAGACATCGCGGCACCTAGAGGTACACAGAAGATACAAGGATTTCACATGTTAACATTTCTATACAATATTCTAATGAAACAGCTAAACAATTATTACAAGAACAATAATAATCATAATCATAATTATAACATCAACAATACTACCAATAATACTACTAACGATAATAGAAATATACACATATTCCTATGTATTATTAGATTAATAACACTTTCGAAGGCCAATATATATATATATATATATATGAAATGATAATAGCAGTACTACAGTAGTACTATTAATACATATTTAAATATATATATATTCTAGGGCCTTCCAGCAAGGAATGACTGACAAAAAGACTCGATTGTCTCTGGGAACAGAATGATGGAATGAAGCAGCAAACTGTTTCAACGTGCAATGCAATTACACCAATATTGGGTAGCAAAAATGATTACTGACATGAACACCATTCAAAGTTTCAATTCACTAAAAAGTGATCTATCTCTTCAATTTCCAAACTTTTATTCCAATCATAAAATACTTTTTGAAAGTAGACCTCATCATTGAAATGTACAAACTTCATTTGTGATTTGTTAGTTATTATAATAATCAGACATGCTCCCTTATATGTGACGCTGTTAATCGTGATGTTTTTCTTTTTTTACATGTGAATGAATGCCAAGAGGGGGGAGGGGGGGGGTGAAAAATAGTGCTCTATACGGTTGAGCATGACTACAGTTATCTGTGTGTTATAAGATTCAGAAATGTGGAGCGCATTACACTAATGGAGAATCATATTTTGCTGCAGCTTCTGTGTAAGTTGCTCAAGAGCTAATTTTTCAACAACTTCCGCTTACTTGTATGTTTAAAAAAAAAAATTAACAGGATACTTTGCAGACTTATATTGTAGTTTTTTTATCGACCTAATGTACATGTAAATGAATGTTCTCCTATCAGGAAGGTCCTGGTTTTGAAACCCAGTCGGTATGCTTGTGCCCTTTGACAAGGCATTAATGTTCATTTCTAATAATTAATATAACAATAATAATAATATCAACTTAATACAATTATACACTTCTTTTTGTGCAGTCAGGTCAAATTTTACATATGAGAGTAAGAATTAGTTGAGAATTGTTTAAAGAATTATAGTAGGTCATGGCAATGTATAATTTGAATGCTTGAACTATTCTATGTGAATATATCAATGTAACAGATGGCTGTAAGGCCATTCTTGTATTGTCTATTACTCTATGGATAAAATCCAATCAATTCTATTTCAGTTCAAATGTTTCAACATCAAGAATAAATCCATCCCTGAATATATCAAAATGGGTCGTTTGCATAATTCGAAAGCTATCTCTGACAAATGGAAAAGAAAAAGCAATTTGGTGCTTTGTGCAAGAGACATTATACATGTATCTTCTGCCAGTAAAAGTTAGACTTTCGTGTTTTTAGTTTACAATTCAAGTGGTTAACGTCTACCGTGACCTCGGCAGAGGCCACAGTCATGTTCAAGCATTTACGCTTACGACATGTGGTCTCCTGCTTTTTCCTTTTGTATGAAACTTTTATTTTAACTAGAAACAAATTTTGTCAAACTTACATGTTATTCATTATATTTATTTGTATGTTTCTTTGTATTGATATGAAAAAGTGGAAATAAAACAAAACAAACAAACAAACAAAATGTTATCTGAGAGAAACAGATGACGGATGACAAGGGATCAAAATTTTGCATTTAGTTTTACATACAGGGTAAACTCATGTTTGTAGTTTTAAAAATATAACTCAAATGTCCCTTTTGTAAATTTTCCTATCATGTCATAATAATAACACAGTTGTACTTGTACAATGCTTATGTCTCTAAGTATTTTACATTGTGAGTATTATCATTTCATAAATAGCCTACAGGATTTCTATGTAAGATATGTCCTTTGTCTCGTTAAATTGGATAATAATAATTTTTAGAGTAAATATTGGTACATTTAAAAAAAATGTGGAGAGTTCTTCTTACAAATGTATGTGTCACATATTACATGCATGGCTAACTTGCTACTGAGGTATTTATTATATTGGTCTTCTCTGACTAAGTTTTCTTCTTCCAGTCCAGCCAACATTTCCATTTGTTTTGTTGGTAAAAGAAAAAGAAAAACAGAAGGTGAATGTGTTTTCCATAATGTTCAGTTGCTAACAAGCCTAGAATAAATCACACTGGAGTGTAGGGGATACTGAAGAATAAACTAGACATATTTACTCTTTTGGGGAGCCGACATTCTTTCTATTACTTTACCTTATCAAATATGTTTTAAAGCATTTAAAGAAACATATGTAAGGACATTCAAAATTACTTTTATTTACACTTAAAATCGTGAAATACTACCTCAAGCTTATTTGGGAATTTCTCATGTGGGCGGATTGTTTATTACATTTTAATTTGATGGAGGCGAAAGCATAAAAAATAGCTGCCATGTATTTGTGAATACTCTAGTTGTCACCCTAAAAATATAATTAATTTCTTCTTTTTAAGAATATCAAAGTAAAGGGATCCAGCGGATCATTTCAAGCGAAACAAATGGGCAATGAAAAAGTCAATAATAAGGTACGCCTGCACATGCTTCAAAGCCTGTGAAATTTCCAGCGCAAACAAAAAATCTGAGGGGTTTGGCCCTCTGTAAAGCTTTGGTATTTACTTACATACTGATCTGTATGTTGACATAAAATGTGCTTATTTGACAAGCTTGATTGCACTTTCAGATCTTAAAGGTATTATTATGTTACAGTATTAATGATTGAGCAAAGTTATGAGAAAGTCAAACTAAAATTACACTGATGCTTAATAAAAATGAATAAAATGCACCAATGTATGCAAAATGAATTGGATGGAATGCATATAAGCAGTGAAAGTATTTTTGGGGGGTGGGCAGTGAGGGGGGGGGGGCAGTATTACATCCCCTAGTGACCCCCTAGTGTGACTATGATTAGAATGAAGATTTATTTTCTGAACATTGACTATCCTTTAAGGCTTTTCTTAAAGGTATTGACATTTGTATTGTGAGTTGTTTGCTACAGCCTGGTATTATCATGTAAAGAATATTGCGTTGGTTGTTGGTCTTCGACTCTTTTTTGATAATTTTTAATGCAATTCTGCTGCTGTCAAGGTCATGGAATATTAAACCAACCTCCACACCCCACCCATATTTTTGTTCTCCATATCTCCCTTGACTAAGAAACTTCCAGTTTGGGTCTAAAAACAGTCTCCCCTTTTCGACCAGAGAAACCATATAATATCATTGGTAAAAGCTATTAACAACTTTGAAAAAAAATCTTGTATATATATTGACAAGTCCAAGGTAAGATTTTAGTAATATTTTAGTAAGATTTTAGTAAGTCAGACAACTATGTCAAACCGATAGCTCTAATAAAGCTTGAATCAAACAAAACATGAAAGAAAGTAATAAAATTCAATCTTCAGTATTGTATAGAACATATCAAGGACTTGCCAAATTTTGCCCTGTTTCTGCTTTGAATACAATTCATCAATCAAAGAAATTAGGAATAGACCATTTTCATAATGTAATCAAATTTAATGCATATATATTTGTTTAGTTCTGGCCTCGTTACTAATTATTTCATTCATCTTTTATAAATAATTGTATTTCAATCTTCAGAATTCAAATTGAATATATTAATCACGGAATGTATGCCATTTATAATAATAATAATATTGGGTTCTTGTATTGCGCTCATGTCAGTCAGATTTGACCCTCCTGGCGCTCCAACGACTATTGAAATACAATTGTTTGTGACAGGTGAATGAAAATAATTGGTAACAAGGCAATTAAAGATTTGTGCATTAACCTTGATTACATTATTAAAATGGCCTCCCTTCCCCCTTAATTCAAAGGTAATCAAAATAAATGCCGAAATTAAAAATTCAGGGAAACCAATCCTTGACAATTAAAGATGAATCGGTCACAGAAAAAGAAGATTAACATTTGTGAAACACCACTCTGGTAAGGGAGATTATATCTTCTGGTTACTTACTTGCGTCTGTATCAAGGTCTGGTTGTGCCTGTGCTAGTTCGTCTATTGCTAATGGGGCCTTTCCCACGGCTCCACCACCTGCACTTACTCCGGCACCTACAGAAAAAAAACAAGAAAACAAGAAATTAGTAACAAAGGTTTCTTTAAAACATCTTGAAATTACTTTTCATACACACATATGGGCCAGATGATGAATATTATGTACACCAATGATCGGTGTAAACATACATCACAAAGTTGCTGAGAAGAATTGTTACGGCTTAATGATCGTCACAAAAAAAAAAGCTGTGAACAATTTCAAAACATCATCCTGCCCTGCCCCCTCTAAGCAAGTAATTATACAAGGGTATTAGAAATATTAGAAACTTTTTATTCTAATCTTTTAATGTTAGGATATTGCTGCAGTATATATATTCCTTAATCGTCCAGTTGCACAACACAGGCTATAGGCATTTTACAATTATGAAGTAATCAATATGAATCTTTTCATATTGTTGGAAAATAAATCCATGTTGAAAGTGTCGATAATCACATATACTTGAAACCAAATGTGGCATAAAATGTGGCCATATATGCCTGAAAGTCTGTTATTGTTCCTTTCAATGAAGGGTAGCTTGAATTACTTTTTGTTATAGTAGATGTCTAAAAAAACCAATGAAAGACAAATATAACCGCCAAACATATGTGTTCTTGCTTCCTGGTGCTACAAACACTGTATTAATGATGATTTAACTTTATAGCTGCCCCCCTCCAATAACAAAAACAGAACTAAACAAACAAATTAATCTAACAAACAAAAATATGATTGCATGACTCATCACAAACATACCACAAGTAAATAAATGTGTGAACAAATCATGATCTAACTAGCCAAGCATTGAATTGATAAAGTGGGCTTATAAATTAACCATAACACCTAGTATTTGTTCATAGCCTCTGCACCATTAGACATTAACAATAAATGACCTTGTCCCAAGCTGGCTACTGAGCTTAAAATCAATACCAATTGAGGAACTTTAGATCAGACAAAACAAGTAAGCTTCCATTAATTCAAGTGGGAGAAGTACATACGTCCTTCGTTATCATGAAAATGTCTGCAACACAACCAATTAACCCAAATGTTGAATGACCCCATAAAATCCCTCTTAAAATTATGTTTGATTTAGCTTATGAAAGGTTTATACCTCCCCGATTTATGTGCGCATCCAAGTATAAATATAGTTTGCATATTTTACTATATTGTAAATGATTTGGGGTAATTTGATCGCCTTCAATACATGGCTGTGTAAGTGTGCCACACACATTCTCATCCTCGCGAGCACTATAAGTACGTCCTCGGTAGACGAAACTGACAGCGCTCCCCATACACTATTGTACTATTTTACACATCTGATCCAATACGCAAGTAAGAAATATTGTTGACCAAACACAGCCCCAAACGGGATGAATCCATGACATTTTCACCCATATAAAACTAAAAATTAGAATCAACGTGGTAAGCGATACACAAGTAGTGCAACAATACAAAAGCAAATTGTCTTCCCGATTCAACAATGAAACTCATTCATACGAAGCAGTGACGTTCTGCTCAAAGACGCGCTCGTTCCTAGCGAAGTTGTAACCCTACTAAAATACAGAATATAGCAGGTGGACCGAGTATCGGTCCTTGTCATGTCATGGACAAATCGAAAATCAAACGAGGCATGTCAAGTGAGCTGTATCTGTCCACTGGTTGTCACTGGGCATGGCTTGATATATCACGCATGTTCATTACTCCAAACATTTTGGAATTTTCTTGTGACCAACATTTCAGCCGTTTCCCCCATAACTTTTTCTGACATTCTCGTAAGCCATAGAAAAACTCACTCCCGTCTCCAACACAAATCCATTGCACGACAGTAGATTTTAGGTTAAGCAACATGACGGGAAAACGTACAGAACAAAAATATATACAAACCATCTTCTTCTTCCCATAATTCGTCCCATAATTCTGGCAGCCAACTTAAAAGTTGACCCATTCTCTCTTCAAAATGCCACCCCAATACACAAGCAAAGAGCAACTATACATTCCCAGCGTCAGCTCGATTTTCAGCCAAAATCGTTTCCATTTCAATCACAGATAGGAGATATCAAAACGAGTTTCAACTGCTACATTGTATATACCAAATTGCACATCAATAACATCAAAAGTCCTGTCGTAAGACACCAACAGTTCCATGTGAAATCATTGTAATATCCAGAGGGAAACAAAATGCCAGCGTATGCTACTAGCTACTTAAATATCTTTGTCAACTAATAAGACCAACCCTTGGAATCAAACCCGAATTAAAACCATTCCCCATTTGATGAAAGTCTGCCAATAAATTATTTGGGCTTGGTATTTGCCCAGACACTTACAATGTTTTCATACGGTACTTGTTGAAAACATAATCATAAAGAAAACCAGCCAATCAACATAGAATCAACAATCGTTGACATTTACAAAAAAGACAGGAATGTGAAGTGCTCTCTAGAAGGTCTGTATTGTAAGCTTTCGTTAAAAAATGACAGATGGCTAATTCAAGACAAGAGTACTGCACACACTACTCTGCTTTAAATAAATTATTACAAAAGCTGGAATGCAATCATATAAATATTACTATGACTACACTATACAGTTTAAAAAGTCAACTCGGTGACTCGTAAATGGAGTTGAATTAACAACGCTAAGCTCAAGGAGAGCATCGTTAATTAGATACCGCGCTCTGTAGTATGCGAGATGGACGCCATTTTCATTCTAACAAAGTGCGATGACCTGCTTAGATAAAAGAAATGCCATCCCAGAACAATAAGACGTTTTACTTTCCATTCCTGCTCTTTAACACATTCTAAAAATGGTAAATGAAGGATTTATACATCCATACTATGGACATTTTCGTTGGTTTATTTATGTTTTTTGATTTGCTTCCCTTTCTCTGGGATCTGACCCCAACTTTTCTTCTCGAAGCGTCATCCGCGCAGCATCTGTTCCGCTAATAATGAGCAAATGAACAACAAAGCGTCCTGTTACTGCTGCTAAACTCGACGCGGCGAATCTGTTTATTGTATTCCAAGCTTTGCATATCGAGCCCTAAAAGAGAACCTAAATCTGGGTAAGCGTAGAGCTTCGTCAATTCTATACCCCTGTGCTTTGTTCCCTTGGTTTAGCTCTCTTCTCTGTGGAATATACCAAGACCAAGCTAAAGCCAGAGGGTACACAACTACACATGAAAGTAACACGAATTACATCAAGCTATATTTCAGAACGGATGTTCCGATGTAAACGCATCTGTCAAAATCTGATGATATTAAAGGGATGTAAGTAAACTTGCCTATTTCAATACGATAAACTTGATAAATCCTTTATCCCCTCCGTTTTGTAAAAGCTGTTAAATCCAAAGACGATCATCAGAGAATCATTTGCATTTTGCAAACTCACAATATCGAGGTAACGAAAGAATTATTCCACAAGATGAGAGTTACGATGAATTCGATGAAGAGCATGTTATCATCCAAGATTATGAATTCACGTTTTGGAAGAGAGTGGTGCGTCGATCAGGACGTGCTGGTACTAAACTGGTGGAACACCCTACTCGGCTCCGCAGGCTTTCAGATCCTCACCCGAACCCAGTGGTATACATGGGCGTTTTCACGCAACGTAACTAACACTGAATGAGGCAGTTCTGCACAGAGCGCTCCGATCCCTCAATAAAGAACCATTCTCTTCTCTTTCTCGCTTCTGCGCATAATAATAATGGACCTTCAAGCATTAAAAGAGACCAAATCGAGTTGAACTTATTCAAGTGTGGAAGGTGCTCACTGATTCGCCCCCCCCCCTCATTCTGATTCTCTCTCGTTTTTACAACGCAAATAGGAATGCTTCGCATTCCACGGTTTTGTGGCTAAGCAAAAGGCTTCAGATAATCTCCGAATTTTATTCTTTTCTTTCGGCTCTTTTTAGCACTATTCACAACACAGTGCGTTCCCATTCTATGTAAAAAGTTGTTGATTTACGACACACTATACAGTGTGTAAAGCACTGCTGGAATACGAATACGTTATATAAAGGATTGTGTTAACAGATCGGTGATGCTAACAATAACTTTAAGCTTTAAAAAAGAATCGAAATTTTTAATGACAGGAACCCTTGAAAGTTGAAAGGCTGTAGTGAAAAAGAGGTCCCATTTCACCCCCTCCCTTTTGAAGTATACAATTTGGAACCCCAACATTACTAAGAAACGAATAGTTGGATAGATCCTCAATTTGATGAGCCCCTTGAGAATTGTAATTGCAAATTAATAATAGAAATTTGAGCGGGTGGTTTCACTTTCAGTATCGTGTGTTACGTCAGGTAGTAGAATATGAAGTTACTTATCCAGAAAACAAGATCAACCAGAGTAGTTTCAATGTCCACTAGTGGAGTTTTGTTTTTCTTCATTTATTCATGTTCTGTCATCAAACATTTTAAAAGTAGCAATCATTTATTCTTTCTACCATAACTGAATCGTAATACACTACTCCCATGTAGTCAAGACCTTTTCTGAGTTCTACAACTTTTGAGAAACAACATGGGGGCCCTTTTGTTGACTGTAAACAAGCAAGCTAACTTCCGAAAATCTTGAACAAACTTTTCTTGGGTGTTTACCGATCCCCTTCTTCGGGCCTCGTCCAAATATTTCTCCCTTTTAGCTGTAAGCACCCGTTGTTTGATTTTGATATGGCTGGCATTGAAAGAAGACCTCCAAATCGTATGGAACCAACTCCTTTTTTTAGACCCATCGTAATTCAACGATCTGACATCGACGTGCAATTTTTTTTACTACGTACGGGTCAAAGGGGAGCCTCTTTCTTCTCAGGGCTTAGGATATCTTGAAGGGCGAATTCCATCCCTCTCCCCACCCCTACTCGATCAAACTTCTTGTACACCATTCAAAGATTCCAACAGCTTTGTAAAAATTGTACTGACCAACGTTGAGTGCATGTATTTTACTGGCATAAGGAAGATGGGCGTGTTCTTGGGAGTCGGTAATTTGAATAGATGCACTGTGATGTTGCTTATGGAATGCGGAGATTTCCAT